GCGTTGTAAGAATTATTATATTTTTTTTTCTCTGATAATTTTGTCTTGCTTTTGAACCCCATTCAATTAAATAAATGCAACAAACAAATGTGATAGAAAGAGCTGAAGTTCTTTTAACTGTAGAAACAGTTAAATAGTAAAGCCAGGAAGAGGAGGTTACCTATTTTGAAAATCATTATTCAAAATCCTACCTTTTGAACCCTGACCTTTTGAACTATTGGTGTGAAATATGCAACTATCTTAGCCATTTGGCACTGATTTTAAATTTGAGTTTGTGTGCAAACTTTAAAATCTGTAGATTAAAAAGAAATTAATTTTGTTTATAAATTTTTTGTTAAATACCATAAAAAAAAAAGTCTAAATTTTGAATTTGTAAATTCAGTTGCAGTCAGCAAATGCTACTTTTGTTCATAAAAGTTCTTTATTTTTATTATTCTTTCAAGATAGAAATACTTGTCTGTATAATTGAAAAATGTAAGCTTTTTATAGTGTGCAATACATGTTAGAAATGATGCTATTGTGAGGGAAAGGGTTTAACAAACTACTAGTTGCACTAACCATTGAACGGCAAAATCAATTCTTTAGTAATGGCAATATTAACCGTTTCCATATAGTGAAACATTTGGCATTCATTGACCGAGCAGTCAATGCTTTTGGTTGAAGTTGAAACTTATAGAAATTTTCTCTTTAATTTTTCAAATCCAGTATTTGTTAACCACCCATTCCAGTATTTATGCGGTGGGTAATAGATACTCAGTAATTTCTGTGGACTTGTGCCTAAACTAAAGATTTCTAAATAAATACTAAATATGCACTAAAAAAGAAAATACGAAGGAGTGCTGAAAACTTCTGGTCCGACCAATAGGGCCTATCTTCTCAAATTTTCAATTTATCACCTCTCGTATGTTAGTGTGACCCCCACCACTCCATTATTTTACACTTTAAAAAAAAAAAAAATTTGTTTTAGAATAATTTGTATTTACGTTTTTTAAAATGAAATATTAGCTTCTGATGAATCATAAAAGTTTAAGAAATCTTCTATTTTTATTTTTTATTTTTTTAAAGTTACATGTTTTTATTTGAAAAATAAAATAATGATTAGTTTAAAAATTCCAGTTATATTTGGAAAGAGTTTACTTTATTTGTAGAATCTTTTTAAAATGTTTAGTTATTTTGGACAGTCTCTGTTAACGTTCAACATAAATAAAGTTGGTAACAATAACATTATTTAACAATTATCAATTTAAAAATATCGCGCAAAATAAAAGTATTGAAGAGTCAGTTGATTATAAAAAGCTGTCGTAAACATGGGGAATATTGAAAAATGCAACGAAGTGTTGTCGGTTTTCTTGTCTTTCATCACTAAGTTGACTGATTAAATTTTGCAAAATACCAACAATTTGTAAACAGCCTATTTGCGTATTGCTTAAAGTACCATTGGATTTTTTATTTGCTTTGCAGTGTTATTATTTAATGCCTTGAAAACAGTTATGTTTCATACACAGTTATTGATTATGGATTTAGTTTGCCCGGAATGTCTAGGTCCATAAAGGCTGACCCAACACTAGTGGCTACTATGGTTTAAATTTTTTTGCTATTATTGAGTCATGTAGCTAAAATAATTATAATTAAATATTAATGTTAACTTTGTAAGAATGTACGTAACAATTTTGAAGTAGTTCTGTAGTGTATGAAAGTGGATCAATAAGTCCATAGCCAAACAAGGCTGACATTAATGGAGAAGCATTTGAATTGAATGCACTGACGAAAATGAAAAAAATATCGAAAAATATTCGTGCAGAATATATGCTTTTTTTTTAACAGTCTTTTTTCCTACAGATTTTTTTCATTTGGTTAAAAAATAAAAATTGATCTTTTTTTTTTTTTTAACAAGATGTCGATAAATTCTAATTTTGTAATTTTTAACTGGTTATATTCAAATTTTCCTTACGAATTTTAATGAAGTGGATTTTTTTTATAATGGAATTTCTTTTTGTTTGTTCTAAAAAAGCCATTTATTCAAAGTGACCCGTTGAATTGAACATTTTAAAAACTTATTTTTTTATTCTTCCACTTTCAGAAAAGAGCTGATTCTGATGAAACCTTTTTGTAAAAATAAATAAATAAAATAAATAAATTGAAAGAACAAGTAATAAGCATTTTTGGCAATATTTTTCTCATTAATAGAGAGAAAGTTATAAACTATTTAAATATAAATTTCTCTTTCAAACGAAAGAATAAACAAACTCCTGATATAGTAAAAAAAAATAATTGTTCTAGATTTGCACTGATATACTTGGTTTTTATTTTATTTTTAAACAACTTCACTCAGAGACCCTAAAAATCTTCTCCATTTATTTATCTTCAGTCAAGAAATAAAGATTTTCTCTTCAACATAATGATTTTATTTTTCTATATCGTCTTGTCTGAAGATTCAATTTCAATAATAATAGTAAGTAACAATAATAAAACTAAACAAACAGCATTTTTAGAGCTTTTTTTTAACTACATATTCTGAAATATCATGTTTTCTAGATTTTAAACAATGTTTGTTTCTCTGTAGTTTATATTTAATTTTAAAACGGATTTTTTCATTACTTTTTTAAATTGCTAAAATAAAAAGACGCTAAAATGAAAAAGTAGATGGGTCTGTGATTTGGTTTGTTGGTAGCAATTAGTTTTTGTTTATGATTTGTGTTGTTAGTTGGTTACAATTATTTCAGTCTTTCTTTTTTTCTTAAAATAATTTTAACAATAACTCTGGATTGTTACTAATTGTTCAGTTCATCTTTATGTATATTAAAAAAGTATAAATTTTATTTAAGAGACGACTACCAAAAAAAGAAAAGAAAAATGTTTGCCACGTGGTCTTTCTCAAAGTCCATAAATCGGTCAATATCGTTTTTGAATAATGAATGACCAACAATTTCTACAGTCGTTGTTTGCAACACGGATCGACAGATTTTAATATTTTTTTATGCTTTCTTCATTTATTTAAACAATTAGAGAATATGGTTTATTTTTTTCTTTTCTGTCATCTTTTATTTTTTATTTAAAAAAAAAAACCAAACAAACGTAAAAAGGATTTTATTTTTACTTTACATGTCCGTGTACGCAATTTCCACACTCGTAATTTTTATTTTTGTGTCTGTTTTACTTACTTTTTGTTTTAATAGACTTTGGTTTTATTTTATTGTGATTTTTAAAACTAAAAACATCTTTTGATTACTTGAAACGTGAGTATATACACGTTGAACTTACTTACCTGCTGTTAGATACAAAAAATCCATGAAGTTTAGAAAAATTTGGAAATTCCACTTGCTAGGAGAGAGAGATATTGGTAGAAAATGAATGAAAAAGAAAACAAAACAGAAAAGAAAAAGTGACCGAAGAAAGCAAGAATGTTTCCTTTTTTTTTCCTCTTACGTTTTTTTTTTTTTTTTTTAGTTTCTCCAGTTATGCAGGAATGAAAGAAAAGGGCTTTTTTTTTTTTGTCTCACAGGATTCAGCATGAAGTTGAGCAGCTGAAATGGTCTCTACTACTACTTAGAGTAGCTTTAACGTTGTTTCAGTATCTCCACCAACCAAAGCTAATTTTTGTTTGCAATACTTTGGCCGTGCGTGTTGTCATCGTAATATGAAATTTGTTGTAAGAGATTTTTACTCGAGACACTAACGTAGGCATCATGACACAAGAAAAAAAATAAACCGAAGCCCTAAAATCTGGTAGCATTGGTTTTCTATCTCCTTCACACCATTTACAACTGGTCGCTTGTCAGCGCCTCCAACCAACTCTTACAACCACAACTTCATTATCGCTACTACTATAGTCGTACGCGCGCGCACTACTAGCTCCTTATAATGTCACACTCTCTCTTCTATTTTACATCAAGCACTTAAAACTAGACTCGATTTGTGGAAGGAGAAGTAGCCGAAGTTCTCGTGCTCTCTCTCCTCCTCACCACTACGTGTATATACACACACACATCCCATGTCTACCTTCTTACACACACCTATATAGGAAGGAGATATATGTATGTGTAATTAATATGTATGTATGTATATAAGTAGATGTGTTCGCGTGAAGTTCTTGTCAGTTAGCCTGTGTGTGCCTCTTCCTTTCTTTTGCCCGCCTCAACTCCAACTACGAGTGTATTATTGTCATTCTCTTTTCTCGTACGGAGTGAGAAAAAAGAACGGAAAGCACAAGGCAAGGATCTCTAATCGTTTCTTGTCTGTGATCATTTACCAATGCGACGACGACGACCACAACTGTTATCACTTGGACCATTAATATCACCAACAAGAGACCACACGGAAACGGATTGCAGCGGGTTGACTATTTCACATAACCCATGGGCTTTTATTACCCTGGTCGGTAGCAAATGTAGCCCGCTGGATACCACTCTTGCTCGCTACTACTGTTAACCAGAATCGCGTCGATATTTATTTTTGTATGAATGAAGAAATAGGTCTTAAATCGGTATATTTAAAAGGAATATTATTTTAAAAAAAATGGAAAAAGAATGTTGTTTATTAAGACAACAGGTGACGTGGATGTCTTGTTGGTGATTTTTAACTTCCCACCCCATTCCCTGTCACACATGGCGAAACATATACATTGCAAAAACAGGTTTACACCTCATGAAGGACCCTACCACTGATGTAGACATCGTATGGCCTCTGACACCCAACATCTGCCGCTATTTATATATTCCAAAGTTTAGGAAAAGAAAGCAAATTCCAATTATTTTTTTACCTCGCTTTTCTTCTTTGTTTTGTTTGTTTGTTTTTTTTAAATATTACTGATGGTAAACTGTAAAATACTCTTACAGCTGCCATCATCATTATCGTCATTAGAGCTTTTATTATCCTCATCTACAATAGGGGCGATCTCTGATGTCTTTGGAGTGTGTCTACGAAAGATAGTCTTTTTTCAGAATTGAAACAGGGCCACAGGTTATCCTTTTTTGTGCACGTCTAAAAAGCGTGCTTCGAAAATGGAGAACAGAAGAAGGAGTCTACCTCAATGCGTGGCGGCGGCAGCCTTGCCACGAGTGTCACCGTTCCGCGTTTACATTGCACCCCAGGAGGGAACTACCGATACTAGGGATGGTTGCATGGATGTTATGGAAAGCATCCGAAGAAGCAGTCTCCCGACTCTTCCAGCTATGATCCAACCGACAGTACCTATCAGAGTTGTTATGAAGCAGTAAGATGTCCCAATTTCATATTCATTCATTATAATTTTATTTTTTATTTTTTCGGTTTTCTCAACGTTTTTCACTTTCCTTCTCTATTCTTTCATTTATTTCCATATTTTCATTCATTCATTTGCTCAACTTTAAACAAAAATTTAAAAAGGGTTGCCTGTCGTATTCTTGCTTTGCTTTTCATTTTATCTTATTTTCGTAAGTTTTACTTTTTGATAGGTTTGTTCTCTAGTCATTGTCAAGTGACATTATTTTGGATGGGTGTCTTTTTGTTGCTTCGTTTTGTTACCCATGTGGATGTTTGTAAGTGGGCCATGCTATTTTAGCTGAGGCTAGTCGATGAACAAAAACAGCGAACTCAAAACAAAAGTCCCACATACTGCGAACAGAGGGGAGGGGTATAAAAATGCTAATTATGCTTCACATGATGATACAGAAAAGTATATCGAGGAACTTTGTTTATTTAAAATTCTTGAAAAGATGCAAAATTGTTACCATTTTCAAATCATGTAAAGATGAAGAGATTGTTTAGTAGTGGGTCAGTACACTGTTTTGAAAGCTCTTTGCATTTGGATAACCTAGACCCAAGAAGCTGCTACTGCAAGCACCACCTCCTCCTCCTCCTTCCGTTTTGTTGTTGTAGTTGTTACCTGTGCGTTTTTAGCCAAGCTCTTTATTTTTCTGGGTCCGTGCAAATAAATTATTGCTTAAGAGAGGCACGGATGAAAATAAATCCAAAGAAAATAAAAACTTTAAAAATGAAAAAAGAAAAGAATTTTGTTTGCTATTTAGTTTTCTGACTCCATTAAATCTGTAGTATACTGAAAAAAAAAAATCTTTAATTCCAAATCATTTCATCTTTGCCATCGATAATTAATATATCTGTGTATGCATGTGTGTTTGTTAAAGAATCTTGTTCACCAGTGTTTGCTATTGGAAATGATGTTCTTCTTATGACTCATCTTTTATGGTTGCTTTGTTTAATTCTTGTCTTTTTTTTTCTCTCAATATTTTCTATGGCACTGCACGAAAGGTGTGAATGATTGTGAAGACACTAGAGAGTGATGAGTAATTTATCTTGTCTACTGTCAAACAGATAATAGATGTTTTAGAAAATTGAAACAAACAAACAAAAAACAACGAAATGTAGCTGCAATAATACATTTTACCTTGATAGATTTTTTTTTTTTTTTTACTTTTGCTAAAAGTGCGTTATTGTGTGCTGTTTTGTAGACACACACATATGTATTTTGTTTACGTTTGCATATGATATCAACCCAAAAGGTAAAGCATATAATTAGTCATTAATTTACATTCTTATTTTTTCTCCATCTTTTCTCGTATGCATACATTTAGTTGTTCTTCAGTTCAGGAGCTATTTTAAGGCACATGCACCTACACACACGACAGTTCACCTGCTAATTTTTGTGTGTGTATTGCATATGCGCGTGCACGCACACACACAGGAAAATGAATATGCATTTATGTAGTGTTTCAATGCAATAAGCATATGCATTATTGGTTGGCTATTCTGTTGTAGCATTGCCTCTTGCCTGCACAGATGTGTATTTATCCAATTTCTAGCCAACAGAATCAAACAGCTGATGTACAAAAAAAAAAACCTCTAGGTAAATGAACATAAGTGATCTCTAGGCAAATAATAATTTCTGCAGAATCCTGTAACTAACATATAAAGACAAATGTTTATGAATAGATGTACACGTGTGTGTCTATTTGTATTATAGATTAGTTGCTTTTTACTTGTAACCTTACAGCCTCTCCGGAGCTGTCTGGTCACTTTGATGGCATTTCATTTTAGCAGCTATCACCTCCATCCTCCTAGTTAATTTGTCCAGCTCTTCTATTACCGTCTATTGAGTCTGAGCACCAGTAGTGTGTTGAAGAAATTTTCTTTGTTTAAGAGGAAGTCCATCTCAATTAAAAAAATGCAAATATACATTGGCATGCGTGCACCATTAAAAGTATTCACCTATCAAAGCATGCATAGGTAGTTTAATAACTCTGTGCAACTTAACAATGAAAAAAAAACAAAACAAACATTTAGTTTGCATAATGAATAAATTTCAATGTTATCTCCTTTGTCACTGCACTTAATTCAGGGATGAATATTACTTGCATTAATTTGATTGAACATTATCCAGTGAAAATATCAGATCAACATGAAACTAATAATTATTTTACACTGTATGTAGACTTGCTAATCAACCTTTGTATACAAGAAGCCCAGACTGTTAAGTATATGCATATATTATCAGTGTCTTTGCATACAAAAATGCAGTTTATATGTAAATATATGCATTAAATGATTTGGGTTTGTCATAGTCACCTGCAAAACATTTTGTATGCACATTTCGAGAAACCTTTGAATATTTTCACATGCATCTCATATATGTTTCATTGAAAAATATAGACATATTGTGTGTCTATTTATTTTTAAGCTGATCCTTTCCAGTTCTCTAATCAGTTTCTTCATGTTAAGATGAAATTCATAAAAAAAAAGTGTTGTAGTTTTTTCCTAATTCAAATACTTTCAATCTTTTGCAAGATTATCTTCAGGGGTAAATTACAAACACAAACTTATTGTAACTGTGGTAAAATCTGCATTTCATTGTGATGGTAATTTAAAAAAAAATGTGAATGTGCTCTGTTATTTTTAAAATTTTAATTTATCCATTGTAGTTATGGAATTTTGTTTTGCAAATCAAGCATTTCAATATAAAGGAGCTGACCAGAATTTGGTAGAAATGCAAAATGGCATACTGAGGTTAATGACTTAAGTTATCAATTGCCAAGGAAAGCAAATGCATAAAGAGTTAAAGTAAATGTATCATTAAAGATTAACAACTATATAAAGAATGGAGATATGCAGGAAAATCTTTTAAATGTTCATGATGAGATAGCAGAGCAATTTTAAGTAGACAAATTTTCTATACTAGGATTTATTCTTTTGAACATTTATTAAAGCAAAAGCGTTGAAATGGAAAGGAAATATTCTATGACTCATTTTGATGTTGATATGCTGAAGGAACTTATTCATCTATGCTCTTAATATTTTTATTATTTATAAAAAAATCTTTTGTGTGACCTCAAATTCTACTGTGTACACAATTCATTGTAACTACAGACAAGTGTGTTTGTAAAATGCTTTTATTGTCTCTCTCTCTCTCAATAGATATATATATGCACACAAATACATAAACATTTTCACATAGACAAATAGATTTTAATATATTCACAATGAGACACATCAAAATCACATGCACACATTGTGTAGTTTTCAGCTTGTCATTAACACCAAGTGCTTACAAAAATCTGCAGACGCATAAGAAATGTATAAGACAAAGGGATGATGTTAACTGTTATATATTTACTTTTTTCATTGCTGAAGACAGCAGGTGATTCCTTATGCTATATAATCTCTTTTATTAATCACCTTGAATGTTTTTGTTACTCACATTTGATATCAAATGTTTTACTAAATATTTACATTCCTCTGCTATTTTAGTATACTTTGCATTTAATTATTTTTACATATGACTTCTAATTTTGCTCCACCTTAGAGGTAGGGGGTGTAAGATGAGGGAAGTAGATTGAGTTTTAGTTCTATTGACTTGTGACTAAGAAGACATTTTTGAAGCCATTCAAGCAGTTGTAGTTGTTTAGATATTCAAGATTGAGATTTGTATCACAACTTCCTCTTTGTTGACTATGGTGGCGGCGGCTGCTGCTGCTGAGGTTTCGTGGTACATGTTCAAGTGGAATGATAGATATGCAGTGGGATTTGACAGAGTGATATGCAAGTGATGATAGATTTTTGAATTCCGTGATGATACTTGGGTGGATAAGTGAATTGATAACACAAGGGATACCTATTAAGGTGGTTGATTTTTAAAATGTTAAACCAGTTGATAAACGAGGAAGAAAGAATGACTGTGTCATGTGGCTTGAATGTATTACTGCTATAACCATTTTTTTTGTTTTGTTTTTGTTTTGCCAGTCCATCTGCAGGTAATATAATGTTGGTGGAATAGAATTTGTCATTGCATTCTTTTAGAAAGATATAACAAAAAGAGTTTTATAAAAAATTTTGGTTGCTTTATCAACTTTAAATTTGTCTGCTATATTAATACCTGAAGTGTAAGATTTGACATTTTTAAAAAAAAATCCATATCCGTTGATTTTCTTCAGAATTTTTTGAAGCTTTTAACATAGAGTAAATTCAAAATAAAATCATTTATACTTGGCTTTCAGGTCGCTTTCCTATAAATTCTTTGATAATATTCATTGATTGGGTCCTCTCTAATTGGCATAAACAAGAACATGCTGAAAAGTTCTCAGCCACATCTTCAAAATAATAATAATAAAAAAAAAAAAAATCTGATGTTTTTAGGAAGTGGGTTGGACTAAGAACTTTTCAGCACTCACTCCTATAATCTATATTATTACCTAAATTACCCCATGCCACAAAATTAATGCAAAATAGGTAAACGGTTAAGCATTCAGAGGTTAATGATTTTATGTTAATTTTTTTTTCTGCATAGGAACTAATTTGTATTACTATGTGTGTTGGCATTTTCTGTCTTTAATGGCTTGACCCTGCTGCATGTTTGGAGATGAAAATTTTTCTATCTTCGAACAGTCATGTCAGCCCATAAAAACAAACCTCTTTCGAGGGCAAGAAGTGAAAGCATTTTATCTAGGTGTCTTCCACTTTTTCACTGAAAAGCAGTATAGCATTACAAAACATTAAGGCTTGTTAAAAACAAAGTTTTAGCATCAAAATGTTTGTTATTATTAAGAGAAAAGACCAAGTATTTTCTTTATTATTTTATTAAATTTTTTAATCATTTGAAATTTTGGTTAAATTTTTATTTTTTCTTTACATCAGCTATTTACAATTAGTGTTTTAGCATCTTTTTTGCGCTGAAAAACACAAAAACACATTGATTTTTAAATTCTTGCAAAAATGAAATAATTG